GGTGCACTCGATCCCGTCATCCATGACAGTGATGAAGATGTTAAACAGCACAGGCCCCAACACCGACCCCTGGGGAATGCCACTCGTCACCGATCTCCACTCAGACATCGAGCCGTTGACCACCACTCTCTGAGTGTGGCCATCCAGCCAGTTCTTTATCCACTGAGCAGTCCATCCATCAAATCCATGTCTCTCCAGTTTTGAGACAAGGATGTCATGTGGGACAGTATCGAAGGCTTTGCACAAGTCCAGGTAGATGACATCAGTTGCCTGTCCTCTATCCACCAGGGTCGTGACCCCATCATAGAAGGCCACCAGGATCGTCAGGCATGATCTGCCCTTGGTGAAGCCACACTGGCTGTCACCAATCACCTCCTCATTCTCCATGTGCCTTAGCGTGACATTTGGAAATACTGCCTGCCTCCAGAGTGCTTTACTAAAAAATTGTCTGAGCGCGAGTTTAACTTCCATTTTAGGCTGGCGGGGGTGGCTGTGTCCCTCTGTGTGCACATTTGCAAAAATTTCGTGTGCAAGCGGAACAGGAGCCTGTGCAGACCTTAAGAACGGTTTGTACCAGGAGCATGTCGTCTGATTTAGAAAACCTGTGCAAAATTCCCAAAGGCCGGCTTCCACTGGTTGTCACCATGGGGACTGCTTAGGTGCAGTCTTAACCATTCGAACACTGCGGTCAGAGCCTACTGGGGTCTTGTGCTCCATCTGCTGGGCTTGAAGGAAAAGACGGTGAATGGAAAAGCTAATGAAGGCAGGATCAGTGTTGTCTGCATTCAAAATACTTCCTACTGAACTTGTGACAATCATGTTGTAAAGGCAAATGTATTTTTAGGTTTTTGAGACAGTGTTACTGGTGTTAATGCTTGCTCTGTGCAGAACAAGCACTGCTCCATATGACTAGCATGTTCTCCTTGTGTAATGGATATCTGCTCTGGGACCTGCTTCTCCCGCTATGCTTTAGGATTTTGTTCGCTGTATGCACAAACTTTTTTTTTTTTTAACTGAAATATCGGAATCTAGCATTTACATTTTATTTTTTTCACAGCTAGACAGATAAGCATGCAAAATCTTGCAGTTACGAGCATTATGGGAGGAGTACACACCAAAGCAAAAAAAATACCTGGTTAGGCCACAGTAGTCTTGAGATTTATTTCTGGTGACTGACATACGTTACATTTGCCTGCGTTGTACCTGATTACAGTAACAGTTTGATCTGAGGAGCACCCTTTCATGTTTTCTGTGCTTCTTGTAACAAGCCATAGTGCAAGGGCTTAGGGAGCCTACTGGTCTCAGATTGTGCACTGACCTGTTTCCTTGTACCTTTAGTAGACATAGGGTTTTCCACCTCAAAAAGAAGTTTTTAAAGAAGAGTTTCCAGGTCACGGTCCCATTTTCAACTGTTTCAGTGGTGTTCAGTTTTTTTGCTGTTGCAACAGCGCGATGGCCAGGAACCGTTTGCTGCTTCTCCCTAGTGAAACCTAAAGCTTGTGAGAGGAAGAAAAAAAAAGATCTACAGAAGCCTGAACTTCAGTCTGCTCATTGCTACAGTTGTTTAAGCAGTTCTGATGTGCAGATCTCCTGCAAGTTTTCCAGGGAAAATAAAATCTCTGTAAAACAAATAGGAAGCAAATTGACAGTGGGGTTTTTAGTTACCCGTCAACAGACCCCTTGGAAGTAATTTTCTCATAAGTAGGGGTGGCAAACTGTAGGCTGAAATCCCAGCCACATGCAGCTGCTCAAAAACATCTTACAAGTGTAGAAAGGGAAGTAACAATGGAGATAAAATACTGCCAGATTCCCAGTGGCTTGCAATCACTGATCAATGTGACACTGTTCTTTGAAGTTTTTACAAGCTCTTCTCTGAATTGCTTTTCCATGCACAGGAAATTGAAGTGCATCTGACTAGTCCATCACTCACAAATACCCTTTCACGTTAGAATCAAATACATATGACTGGGTTGTGTCAGAATAAGTCAAAGTTTTATGTTCACACAGATGACAAATATATGTTGAGTTTCAGAAGTAGTTAAAATTTACTCTCTGTTTTGTTTCAGTGGCAGAGCAAGCTGAGTCCATTGATAACCCATTGCATGAAGCTGCCAAACGAGGTAAGTGTGATTTAGGTTTTATTTGTGTAATGCTGAAGGATGATTTGTTTGTTTTCTGCTAAAGTAATAATATATTTAGAATGGAGATAGCACTGTTTTGATTGTCTGGTAACTTGAACAAGTTATCTGGTAAGTTTTGTAGCTTTCAGAAGCTGACCTGGTTTGCAGCCTGTTAGAATTGGTACTCTGTGATTGTATACACAGAAGTGTTTGGTACCATCCATTTAACTGTGTAGGGATCTAAAAGTCTTCTGGGAGTGGAAGAAGAGATGTTTGATATGACTTGGATTGGTTGTTTAACTAATTAAAGGTGATGCTGCTAAGCACTTTTTCTCCTGTTTTGGTTTAGGCCCAGGTGGCAGTTTAGTACCATGCAGCTGCTTGGTCAGTCCTCCCCTGGTGGGATCGGGGGGAGAAAATACCAAGAAAGTCTCATGGGTCAAGCCTTCTGCTCTCCCCTGCCCCCTTTCCTTCCTGGGCTTAGCTTTGCTCCCCACTTCTCTACCTCCTCCCTTCTCTCATCATACATTGTTTCTGCCGCTCCTTTCTTCTCTGTGGGAGGACTCCTCACACACTTCCCCTTGGTCAGTCCTCCCCTGGTGGGATCGGGGGGAGAAAATACCAAGAAAGTCTCATGGGTCAAGCCTTCTGCTCTCCCCTGCCCCCTTTCCTTCCTGGGCTTAGCTTTGCTCCCCACTTCTCTACCTCCTCCCTTCTCTCATCATACATTGTTTCTGCCGCTCCTTTCTTCTCTGTGGGAGGACTCCTCACACACTTCCCCTGCTCCAGCGTGGGCTGCAGGGGGGTCTCTGCTCCCCCGTGACCCTCCGTCTCTGCAGGGGGACAGCCTGCCCTCTCACCATGGGCTGAGGGGAACCTCTGCTCCAGCCACCTCCTCCCCCCTTTCCACACTGACCTGAGTGTCGGCCTGGTTGTCTCTCTCATCCAACCCCTCTCCACTCCTGCTTCTCTTCATTTTCCCTTCTTAAATATATCAATCACAGAGGTGATGACTGGCTCAGCTGTGGCCAGAGGTGCGTCCAACCTGGAGCTGAGAAAGCTTCCAGCACCTTCTCCCAGGAGCCAGCCCTCTAGTCCTGCTCCCTGCTACCAAAACCCTGCCAATCAAACCCAACATAGCTCCTCATAAGTTCATAGAAGGACCGACACCCTTCAGAAAGAAATAATGTTAACTTCGCAAGGAAAAAAAAAAGTGAAAACTAAATTTGTCTTTTAGGCAACCTAAGCTGGCTGAGAGAGTGTTTGGATAACCGCGTTGGGGTTAATGGCTTAGACAAAGCTGGAAACACAGCTCTGTACTGGGCATGCCATGGAGGCCACAAAGGTATTACAGAAATAATTTGAAATTACTGTTCTCCCTTTTTCTTGATTTGCTTGTTAGACTTGTAATTACTTGTTGATTGTAAAAATTGCAGTACTAAATAGAGCCAGGATTTTTTAGTGTCATTCTAGTGCTCTTAAAAGTTTAAAGCTAGAAGAGAGGGTTCAACTCCATCAAATGATGTGTTTTTGAAACAGACATTCTAATCATCATAACTTTCAGAAGCAGAGTGGGAAGCAGGACAGACTGACAAGAAGTATTACTTTATTCAGTAACATTCCTTTGTGACTTATGATTGTTTGCTCAATAAAGTCTGACTGTTACAAACTTTCATTAACTGATAGCATTGCTCTTTCATTAAATCTTAATGAAAGTCTATACTACGAATGCAAAAAAGGCCTATTTTTAATCCACTGATTTTTTCCTCTTTATTTTTTCCTTGTTTTCTGCAGATATAGTAGATGTTCTGTTTACCCAGGCAAACCTAGAGTTAAACCAACAGGTAGGTTAAACCAGCAGACCCTTACGGTAGATCTGTGATGTTATTCATCCTTGGTACAAGCTGAAAGGTTTTTTTGCTGTATTTTAATCCTGTTGCTTTTCCCTCTAACTCCACAGAACAAATTGGGAGACACAGCTTTGCATGCTGCTGCATGGAAAGGTTATGCAGATATTGTAGAGATGCTGCTGGCAAAGGGTAAAGATCTTCACCAAGATTTCAACAATCTGTGTGGCAGACTAGATTCCTGAATGTTTATTAATCTGTTTTTTTCTAACTGTTTTCCTATAACCCAGGTACAGTCCCTAGCCAGCTTACCTGCCTGACTTTATAAGCCTTGCAGAAAATTCTGGCAGCTATTTGGAAAGTAGACATCTCACCTGCTGAAGATAAATTTCATCCTGCTTTGCAGACAAAATTAGGCACTTAACCCAGAACAGCAATGACGTCTGCTTTCTGGAAAGGGAGAACAGCCAGCAAGTTCCCTAGCCAACTGTAGCTTATGGAAGAACATCCATAACTTTTAGTCTGCTTCCAAGCAGCCCACAGATGATATTTCCTTGTCCATTACTCTGAGCTGTTTTATCCATGCTACTGAAACTTGTAATACCATTGCTGAAGAAATAGCTGGGACAGTGATTCATGATGAAAATTTTCTGTTATAAAGGGGCAAGAACAGATCTGAAGAACAATGAGAAGAAACTGGCTTTAGACATGGCAACCAATGCAGCTTGTGCTTCCTTGCTGAAGAAGAAACAGAGTGCAGGTATTTCTGATTTTGTAGTTCTTGTAGTTTTTCCTTTTTGGAGGACGCTTAGTACTTTGACCAAATATCAGTGTGTTGATAAAACCCACATGGGAGCTCCATGGGCTGAGAGTTGTGTTTGGAATGGGGTTTAATTCAGCAGAGTGTGATAGAGGCCTGTGGTTTATCACATTCAGTGTTGCTGACTCCACAAAAAATGCTATCTTGTGTCAGCGAGGGGTGAAATAGTTCATAAGATGTGGAAATAATGAGGGAAGGGAAGGAAATGGAAGGCAGGCCTTTCAGAGTGGTGACACAGAAAGCAAGCATGGAAACTTCCTTTAAAAGCAGTACACCACAAGGGACAGGGTATGAGAGTGAAAGACAGTATACCACAAGGGACAGGGTATGAGAGTGTGGTACGTTCCCTCTTACACCCATCTGTTCCTCCAAAGTAAGCCAAACAAACATCAACAGAAACTTCTGTTTTCTTACTGCTCATTTTTTAAATTGCTTATTCTTATGTCTGTCCGAGTGATGTCTAATAGAGAAATAAAGAACTAATGCTTTCAGCTATTTATCAGAATAATCTTGCTGCCTCCCACTAATGCTCATATCTCCTGATAGCACAGTGTCTGTGTACAAAAGAGTTAGAGGTACAAGACCATTTAAAAAAGCTGAACACAGACTAAATTTTGTTCAGTATCACATAATGAATGTCACCTGTAGCTTGCAGGAGGCTGAAGATAGGGTGGAAACCCTAGGTGACTTACACATGAAATGAAAATTACTTCAGAACCCAGGACAGCTTGTGTCAGTGGGATATGTGATCTGCTGACTGTACTATCGCAGGGCTAGCGGGAGCAGAGAGAATGCTAGACAGTGGGTGGCTAGCAGTTATGGGAGTTGAATAGGGAAATAGCCGACTGCAGCTCTTGAAGGCCAAGAAGAGCAGTTGCAGCAAAAATACAGTCCAGATTTTTGACAGGGCTAATACCAGGATTTCCCGGAAAAACTTGACAAGTTATTCCATCCATTTTGACTCTGAAGAAAGCAGCTGTAATAAAGGGCAGAATTTCTTCTATGTTGGTTAATCCATGTTAGAAGCACTTTTTAAAATTTTTCCCTGTCAGCTGTAGGCACCTGGTACAGTAGTATTCTTCATTATGATGTCCCTAATAATGCTAGTAATGTTTTGTTTTCTAACAGTAATTGAACTTATCTTCTACTGCATTTGCTTCATTCACTCTAAATTAATCATTTCGTAGGTGGCTGATTTTTCATCCTTAGTCACTTCATCTGTCACTGGCCTCTGGTACTCTCGCATACTATTTTTTTCTTGTTGCCTTGGTGTAAGAACTGATGTTCTCGGTTTTATCTACACTTTCAGTATTGTTTGTTTTTCTCTCTTAATTTGATTTTTTGTAATCTCTGTGACACCACTGATCGGTATACTTTGCTTGGATTTTGGTTTTGTTTTTTTTTTTTTGGTAATTTCTATTAATTTCATTTTTCTCTGTTGATTCTACGTCTGAGTATATCCAGTGTCAGTGAGTGAAACAATTGTTCTTTTTCCAGAGATTGAGTCATATATCAGTAGTCCTCCTGTCCAGATACGGCTTCTGTCATAGTCTGTCTATAGAATACTTTGTTTTATCCAAAGCAGCTTACTTTACCACCACTTAAATGTTCACTTTTGTGTGTTACATGCACACACACACATTCACATGTCATGATTGCTGAAGTACATTCTAAGAAATGAAAGGTATTAAAATCCTGTCATAGAAATGCAAAAAGGTTGTGTCATTTGTGCTCGTGAATGAGGGAACAATTGTTATACAGAAGGAATCGGATTTGTCCTTTTTTGATGTGTGCCCCACTGAACACAGGGCTCTACAGTTAATTTATTTTCTTGCCCTTCTTCCTTTGTTGCTTCTCCTACTCAAAGAGGAAAAAAATAGGGTTTTTTTGCACTTAGATTTCTTTGATCAAAAAAGTGGAGTAGGTTTTAAATTTACTTTTGCTTCTTCTTCCAGAAGTCTAGGATAACATGGCCATCCCTTCTGTGAATTGTGTCATGGCTGCACCTGATTTTTTTAATACTTTGTTTTAATAAGTTATTGCAAAGCTGTGATCGACTACGATCTTGTGGTTCCTGGCTCTCACCAGTACAATATCATAGACATTATGTATAATCAATACTCCTATTCCCATGTATTTGAAGATCTGCAGGCAAATAATCATTTGTCACGGGGAGCCCATCCTGTTTATCTCTCAAAGGTAGATGTAACTCTCCAGGCACTACTGAACATCTGGTGAATATCCTTTAATAGTCCTGTTTTCTGCTTACCGTCCTTCAAAAGCAAAAGCTCCTAAGTAGATCTAAGAAATATTTATTCAGGAAAAGAACTGGGTGAGGAAAAAGGGAGGGGAGAGAATAGATAGAATGTGTTTGATTTCAAGCAGAGGATAGCAGCCAGCTAGGCGTGCGGAATAAAACCACAGAGGCTCTTCCACCAACGCAGCCATTCTTTCCTTTGTGTTTTAAAGGTAATATATGCAGAAAATAGAATTAAAGAGTTCCAGTAATGTGTACAGAAAACAGGATTAAAGAGCTCCAGCTCTGCTGTAGAAGTTCCAAGGAGCCAGAAGATGGCTCTGGAAGGTCACGGAGAACAGACTAAAGCATTTGTATAGGAGATACAATTACTGGTGGTAGCCCTACCTTTAAGATCTGGATCTGCAGCCACATCTGTGTAGCCCGACATCCCTGAATTGTAGAGGACTCAGGTTTCTCAGATGCTGATTTGCAAGCATTGAAAATGTGAGGCTTTTTCTGATGTTATCCTGGATTATGAGAGCACTTTGTTTCTTTGCAGGTACGGTCCGAACATTAAGTAATGCAGAGGAATACCTCGACGATGAAGACTCCGATTAGCTTTTTTTTTTTTATTCAGCCTAAAGAACTATAACTTGCATTGCTTACGTCATTCCCAAAGCCTGTCTTTACAACTGTAAAAATACCTTATTTAGAGTATTGCAGTCTTCCAATATAGCATATAAATGAGAGGGTGAAATCATGCTTTCCAAAGGAATAATCTTCATGTGTGCCAGAAGATGCCACGTTTAAAATCATAATTCCTTTGGAATTACCTCACAGGGGAAGTGTGGCATAGCCTTATCATTGAATGGGCAGAGGACCATCTTCTAAACTCACAGGTTTCATCTCAAACCTTCCCAGCAAGTGCCTTGCTTCTCTGGAATACACAAACTGAAAGGTCCCTCTGGGACAGCAGAACACCACTGCTAACATTTCCCAAAATCTCCCTGGATATTGGCTCCTTTGTGCAGATAAGGTCATACTGGCACAGTCAGCGCTAGCTGACGGACATGAATGGGGATGCTGCTATAGAGAGTGACCATCTTTTGCCCACGTGCAGCCAGCAAGACAAGGTTGGATTTTTTTTTTTTTTATTTTTTTTATTTTCCCATTCCTTTCTGTACCCCTTTAAGTAAGGGGTAGAGTGACACGGGATGATCTGCCCCTGAATGCTTTGTCTTTGCCTATTGCTGTGGGCCCAATCCCTGAAATGTAAACTCAGGTGAAATCTTGCTTAAGTCAGTTTTGCTTGAGAAATACGCTTAATTCTGGACTTAGTGACTTAATTATTTTGCTTTTTGAAGTGCATTATGTTGAAACTACTTGTAGTGAAAGGAAGACAAAATATTTTTCTATTTATCCTGCCTAAATTCTTTTTTTACTGATCTCTTGCTTTTATTTTTTAAGTGTTCTTGTATTTTGTCCTGAGTTACCTCCAAGCTTACCTCCAAGCATTTGAAGGAATGAGGGAAGATGTATATTGAATATATCACAGGTATCTTCAGAAGAGGTATTTGAAGCTGAATAAACATTTTAGATATGTATGGCTTCCTCCTGTGAATTAAAGAGAATTAAAAAAAATGCATTGAGCTACTTTCAAACTTCCCTGCAGAGTTAAAAAATAAGTGCTTTCTTCAGATTGCTCAGATAGTTGCAGCAAAATGGTAGGTATATTCTACTGAAGGATACTTTCTTACTGTGATAGTAAGAACCGTTACAAGTATTTGAGATACAATCTTACTTTCAGTTTCTGTTGCTAAATTCCCTATTAGCGTCTGTAATACTTTAAAAAAAAAAAAAGCAATCCTCTCCACTGCCTCCCCCCACACCTCCTCAAAAAAAAAAAAAAAACCAAAAAAAAACACCCCACCTCACACAAAAAAAGCTCTTGTGAAAGACTGGGGATAAATGAAAAGCTTTTGTGAAAGACTGGGGATAAATGAAAAGCTCTTATGAAATATTGGGGATAAATGAAAATCACACTAAGTATTTTAGAGATAAAAAGAAATCTAAAGAACTCTGACGTCTCGCTTTTAAAAATATATTGAGCCGGATTTTTGTATTTTTATTATCCTGGAAAGAACTAGATACAGGTAAAGCTTGTCAAGTAGCACTTGCCAAAGAAGGCAATGTTTGACCAAAACTGTACAAGATGGAGGCATTGCACAGTCACTTGCAGATATAATTCTGAGCTGTTTAAATGTTAACACCATGGAAGAAATGTTTTGGCCCTATGAAATACAGTGGTCAGCTGAACAATGATGTTTTATTTTGTGTAACTTGAAGGTTCTGGAGGGGAAGTAATAAAAACCAAAGCCACCACATTTTTCTGTCTAGCTTTCATTAGAACAACTGTTGAACATGACTGATAATAGAGGCTGTCCTACTTCACATTTTATCAGCCAGCTATCTTGACTAGCTCAGACTTTCACCACAGTCAAGCCACATCTTACGCTGCATTCTGCTGGTTGACATGATGCAGTTTGTTAGTGCAAGCAAAAAGGGCCTGTAACAAGAGGCTAGAGAAGCAAGAAGGCTCATGTACCTGTTACAGGAGTCCTGCATAAATGAAGCTCACAAGGTTAAAATTCTTCAGTGTCACAGGATATGGGGACAATGGCTCTTCCCAAGTCACTGTTTTCTCTATTGAGCTTTGGAGGCAGAGTTTGTATTAATAAACAACCATAATCTGATGACTTCTGCTGCCATGGGTTTAATATCATACAAGTTAATTGCAGTGTTTGGTTAAAAAATGCCGTGTTAGGCTCACGTCTGTGGAAACAGCTGCTGTCGGAAGACCCTCTGTTCTTCTGCAGGCAGATCTAGGTGCTGCAAGGGAAGGAAGGTGACGGAAGCACAAGCTGGGCCCAGAGACTGCCTGTGAAGTCCTTACTGGGGTGTCCTGGAGGAGGCATATTTGCATTGCAAGGCAGCTAGCTAGTGATGTAATTTGTTTCTAGGACCAAAATTTCTGCTTTTTTTTCCCACAACTTCATTTTTCCTCATGCAGCTGTCTACTCATCTTGTGAAATACAAATCACTGTGAAAACCTGGGCAATAAATTGCTTTCTGCCTAACTCTAGCAGTTAAGTTTTGATTTAAACAAACAAGCAAACAGCAGTGAGACAGTCTTACAGCTAGAAGGAATTATAGCTGTAGTGAGCTGGTAGAATATCTTGCTGGTTAAGCAAACCTACTTACTCCTCTTTTCTCCAATGTGTGTGTGTCACTACAGGCTCTTGGGTAGATGAAGGCTTTTTCCAAGGACAGCTGCATTCACATTTGTACCAGTAAGAAAAACAGGCTTTTAAGGAGAGTGGCAAAACAAATGTTGTTGAGCTCATGATGTCTCCTAAGAGCACGTTCAAGGATATTGTCTTGTGTCTTCTGTGGTTGAATTAGGTGTGCACCCTTCTGTTGAAAATACCTGTGTTCCAGGTTAAAGTGCTGTGCTCTTAGGGGATAGGAATTGTGCTGATTTATTTCAGGCTTTTCAGACTACACCATTTTTCTTTCTGCTTCATCAAAACAGCATAATCTCTGTTTTCTAGAAAAGAAAATGGGACATTTCTGGAACTGTCTTTGCTGTAATTGTTAGTGCATATGGATAATCAAGTTCTACTAAGACAAAACCCACCTTACTGAATTCAGCTCCCACGTGTCCCATCACCTGAAACATAATTCACTTAAAACAATTAAGGTCACATTAGATGTTTAAACTTGGTGGCCTGTTTTCTAACACTCTCCACCTTAGAGCTTCCCCTGCCCGCCTGAATTTGAATTTCTGAAGATGGCGTCATGTTTCTTGAGTTTTACATTAGAGGCCAAGGATTGCTGGAAGTACGTTAGCCTGACCTTGTGATCGTTTCAGTTCTATGCTACAAAGACAAGTGTTTGCATGCAGCATCCACCCCTGAATTAAAGGTTTGGTTTCAGCTGTTGCCACCTTCTAATGAAGCCATTGAAATGGAACACAGGGCAGAGTAAAAAGTGATGGGCCATCAGTCTGCTGCTTCTAGAGAGAGGCATAGGCTGAGATTACAGAAAGTGTTTCGGGACAATATTAGTCATACTGCAGTTTGACTGTCTCAGGAGGCAGAAACAGTTTTGAAGAACCTGAAACAGGATTCTTCAAAAGAAATTAATTTGATACAAAATCATGTATTCTTATTTGCTGAACAGATGGAAAGCCAACAGCTAGGTCTTTTTAAAGCTACACAGTAAGACATGGAGAAGCTGAAAGTAAGACAGTAGCATAAGACAGTTCAGAGAAATGTAACCTTACAGCCTAAGTTCTGGAGCAGAATTTGGACTGGTAGCAGTGTCCACCCCCTGTAGGGAACAAAATACCAGGTACATGCTGACGAGGTGCCTGTTTCCCAGCTGGTAATTGATGCTGAAGATGATGTGTCCAGTCTGTAGCCTCTCCTAGGAAACTGCATTACTACTTTATCCCTCCAGGCAGCTCTGACCTTCCTCAGGGCTCTGTAGAGCAGGCCTCATGGCTCAGCTGGAAGACTCTGCTGGAAGAGATACTTCTGTGAGACAACCTTTGGCAGACCTGTGAGCAGCGTCACTGGAAAAGTCGCTGTGGTGCAGCCAGCATTCACCCTCTCAGTTACAGAAGCAAGGGCAGTTTCCTGTGGTTCTGAGCAACTCCTGAGGTCAGAGGCTGAGGGAGCCTGTTCCGAAGGTAACTAATTTAGATGTGTTTTTCTTCTTAGCGGATGTGGAACAGCACAGATCTTAGCAGGGTACCAGTGCTCAGCTGTGCTACGTGCGTTAGGTTTGTGCAGCCAGGAAAAGGTCTGTAACTTACCCTGTTGTCCTGAGAGCTCTGGCTTTCACTGTGATCCTGAAGCACACGTCAGAGGATGTATGTCTGTTCTCCACCATAAGCTTTTTCTTGCAGACCTGGATTATTTGGAATATATGCTATTTCTTAGCATAAAAATCCATGTTTCTTCTTACATTTCTCTCCAAAGACTGACTCTTAACTTAAAGGACTTGGGGAGTTTTAACATGAAACAGGTGTGAAGATATAAAGTACCACAAGCAAATTGGACATTCAGAAGTTTATTATAATCGTATTTCTGATTTGAAGGTCTGAAGCAAGTTTCTGGAAAGCAATGAAGATACATGGGCAATGAAGGACCTCTGTCATTAACCTCAGCACAAACCTATTTTTGTTCTCTTGAGTTGTGTTGCTTAATATGCGATGTTTTAGCTCATAGCTTTCCAGCAGTCATACCTCCAATTGACTTCATGTCTACAAGGAAATCCCACACTGAAATTAATCCTTAACTCTCTTTGGAGATATTCAACATAAATTTTGAGGTTTTAATTCAAATTTTACATGCAGTTTTAATGTGTCTTTCCTGCTCAGCAGACTTTTATAACACAAGTAGTTCCAGAGTGTTAGTAGTTTTAATTTCATTTTCTCATATAATTTCCCTAATGTAGGTGAAGTTATGGCACATAATCTGAAATTCATGAGTAGTACATTACCTTCTCGGTCTATAAATTTTTACTTCTCTACAAAAGCTGATTTATGTTTTTTCCTGATTTCTGTTTAAGCTAGAAGACCCCACAGAGATCTGACATCCTACTGCCTAGCTATGTGCTTAAAACAGAGGGGAACAAAGAAGCAAAAATTGTGTGTCTGGACTACA